CATAACAAAATGAGGCTTGTTTTAAGTTTACGTGGCATGATATGAGCCTCTTCAAACACCCACCCGTTGTCCTCCACGTCGATGGCATTAAGTCCTGCCAACGCAACATCTATGCTATAAGCACATTCTAATATTATTTTGATCTTTGGGCCTTTTTATTTCCCGTAGTTCCAGCTATCACACCAGCAACATGAAGCTCTGCTTCACCCACTTATGCGCATGGATAAGCCGTTTATCTTCACACTAAAGCCATCCTTATGAAGGTAAGGGCAGAGCGATTTTAAGGGTAAATTGGGTGCCAAAATAGTGATATTGCGATGTGTAATGCCAGGCGTTTACCTACTGCGAAGAATTGGGGAGCATTGTAAATAACCTTGATGTCTCTTACCGAACGGTAATGATGAATGATGGGAATACCAAGAACTTCTGTCTCTCCACCCATACCTACTTAAGGAATACCAGTCGGAAACCGCCGTCTAAATAATTAAGCTGATTTTCAAGAATATTTTCAAATACCTGGCGACACTCCAACGACATCCCAATCAAACTGTAAGCTAAGAAACGATGCCTTTTGAACTCCATATTTATTTTGTTTTTTTAAATTTCTTACAATTTCGTAGTGGCCATCTTAGTAGTATGCCCTGCTCCGTGCCCACAACCCCCTTGCTACTTCCATACTGACAGATCCCATGCCTTCATGGAGGCCTCGAGGCGCTACAGTTTATTAAATATATTCAAGCTGTAGATACATATATCTCCTATTTAAAGTCGAACTAAAAATACGGAATTTTGTCCTTTAAGGAAAATTAAACGTCCTCATCCATTAATAAATTTTTAAATAGCATTGTCTGACAAGCGTCTGAGTCATGCATGCCTAATTTATATTTTATAAAATTCCAAAAAAGATTTTGCGAAATCTATCTATTATTTTTTCAAGAACAAATAGAAAAGTCCTGTAAGCAATCAAAATTGGATTACAATTCAATGAATTTTTCAATGCACTATTGATTATCAATGATGCAGTTCGGGGATGCGATGAGTGTCTACTAGCTCCTAAAAAATCGATAAACCTCACACTTGCATAGCAATTGAGAGTAAAAATAAAATAAAAAACAGAATAAAATCTTTAAAATAGGTTAATTATGATCATCTGAGCTATTAAATGTAAAATAGGTTTCTGATATGAGAAACTAACACTGTTTAGAAAAGGAGCAATGAGTGAAATTTATGCACATTTCTATTCATAAAGTCAGTGTGCCTATTTACGTAAGCTACTATTAGCCTTTTTTTGCTCAACTGCCAAAATTCATGTTCAAAATTTTAAATCAGAAGTATAAATATGAGTAACTGCCGTATGTTTTTCTTTTAAGATAAAAACGATTACAAGCACTGGATTGGCAATTAGGTGTGTTGACAGCATTCTCACTCGGGTGGGGGTGGGGAGGAGGTGACGCACAACACCGGATGGACTTGGGGCGCAAAAAAAATCGATATTGGCCTCTGGCCTGCACTGTTAGCGTAGCCTAGTCAGTGGCGCGGGTGCAGCGCTGTTTCGCAGTCCTCTACATACACACACACCCGCCCACACCAAAGATGAGTCATCCAGAGCAGCAATAAAGGAGACGAGGGAGGTATATACACACACACACACTGTGACTGCTATTGTTACACTAACCGCGCTGCCATGGCATTACAAACTATCGGCGGTGTACTTCACCACGTATGTGTATGTGTGTGTGTGTTTATTTACGCCTGGTAGAAGTTTTGTGCTACCCAGGTTAAACGGTGTCCATATTAAGTGATTAGCTTCACTACTATAGGTATGCAGAATTTGGGTACCACAGCTGTGAAGACACCTTTACTAGGAAGTACTTCCATGTGAGAGATATTTTTAGTTCCTTTGTTAACTATTTTAGCATTATTTAGGCCTATTCAATGCAATTCTCTTCAGTACGGTCCATTATTTCCTCCCTGTCTGGAGGGATGGAGTAGTTACTGGTGTGCTTTAGTTGGTAAAAAGACAAATTAGCCTCATGGCCGTAAAGCGAAAGATTACCACTTAAAGTATAACAATGCTTAAAAACAGTCGAATCATGGCATATTTTAATTAAGCGTTGATGCTTTTCATAAATGCAATGAGTAAAATTGTAGCTTTTTTTCAAGATGTGTTGCATAAGCCTTACTCACCGGTTAGGGTCCTCCATCTGCCGCCCACCACGTGAATCACATACTTGCATTAATCACAAAAATCGATACCACCTTCTCATTGGTGAATGGGGCTCACGCGCAGGGTTGGCAAATCGATAATCGCGGGTTAAAAATCGATGCCGGCATCCGGTTTCGGGGTCTCAGCTTGCAGGTGGGTGAAACTTAGTAAAATTCAAAGATCATTTCCGGCACAATCATTCTCTTTTTTATAGGGAATAGGCCTTAATTTTAATGAAGTCTGCCTAATACAGTGAAAAACTGACAAGAAAGGAGAAAGATTCGAACATGATGTATTGATTCTTACTAGCCATAGCAGAGAACAAAGTAAAAAATCTCCTCAAGAAAATGGAGTCATTCATTCATTCAAACACCGTCGATATTCTCTAGGGCGAGAGAGTATGCTATGAAGTTACGATATCTGATAATTAACTAAGTACATAAAAGTGGCAAGAAGGAATAAAAGAACATCTTACCTTTTAGGTACCGCCCTGTCCTCGGAAGTCCATACTACCTTCGCACTTGATGCGCCAGAGACGCAACCGCTCTCTTGGCGAAAAACAAACACCAATTATCAGTAAGGTATAAACTCGAATAAGTGCAAGAAAATCCAATTGCAAAGTCGCACACCGCATACCTCCTCACCCTCCATATTCCTATTAGGCCGTTTCTGGCCATTCTACGTGATGGTTATCACCTTTTCCTGCTATTAAGATATCACCCGGTCACACACACACACGAAACAGGCCAGCCAGGTGAGAAATAGACATAAAATAGAAATGGAGATGGACTAGAGATAGGCTTTCGGCTTCTAGCGACAAAGCGTTTGGTTAGGAAGGGCTCAAAATTATGGCGGTGACTAATTCAAGGATTACCTCATTTAAAGAAGTTCTCTGTAGTTGTTGAGCTTTTATTCAAAACTCTGCACAAACTTGGTTGGTCACCGTATGCGTATATCTTACAGGGTATAACGTGTTTCATGTAACAGAAGTGGATCTGAGGTGAATGACTTGCCTCCCACCATCTGGGTAGGCCACATTAGTCATGTTTTATGGGACCACCATTACTGATGAAACGCCGTTGGCATGTAGAATGCACCCATTATGGAACATAAATCAACCTTCACCACTAATTCACACACAATTCCTAGAAATTCACTTCGCCATTCAGTAGATTGGCTCCCATGGAGATCCACCGACCTAAAAAGCTGGCGGTCCTCTCATCTTGGTACCAGCTTGTCACTCCACCGCCACTTTGGTCTCACGGATCTACAACACTGGAAAAACATCTGGATCATGTGTAATAGATGGCACAGTCATGTGCAGACTATTTCAATCTCCTTCCCATCGGTTGCCAATTGCCCTAATCTAATGCAGATTGGGAAACTGGAGATGAAGGGGGTGCGAATGCAGCTCCGTGACTCCGTCGTGGAGACCAAAACTTAGGAAACTGGAGGAATTCCATCATTTATGAAGGTCATTCTCGATGCTCTCTCTGTAGGTCATCACAATAGCATTCCGACATCCGTTGATGGCTGTGCATTTGGTCGATTTCGATGCTGGACAATGTCCTCTTCGTTTCCATTTTAAGACTATTTCATAGCCTAAATGGACTATTTTTAGCTTCTTCCAACAAGCGGGGACACCATAAGTCACCTTTTAATTAAAAGACCCCAAAACTCCTGTGGTTAGAAAATATCGGCTTGTTTAGTTTTTGTTGAGCTCCATCACAGTTGCATCTACAGATTTCCGATGATCCCTCTGTCTTGCATCTCTGGTGATTCGACCATCCACAGTATTTACCTTCCTCCTGTAGTAAATGGCCGACCCATATAAATGTAATTCCTTTTTGAAGCATCTTCGGGGGAATTGAAGGCGTCAGGCAAATTCTAACATCTGCAGGTTGCCTCTGAAGACATTAGTAGACAAGGCAGTCTGTAGGTCGCTTTGTTATCACAGCGTCAAATGGAGCGGTGGACTGGTATCGTAGGTGGTGCGGAGCCCCAAACGTGGGAAACTAAAGAACCCCGTATAATTAAGCATTCTAGCAGGTGTACTGGATAATTACTTTGTCCTGTCCACCCTCGACTAAAGTACAATCCTTAACGTGCCATGGAAAAAAATGGGAGTCTACTCGAAAACAGGCCAAGGACGGTTGGCACCTGTCGCCACAATGACTTATGGAGGAGAGTGGCTTTGTCCACCCTCCTATTCACCCCACTTTGCACGCATGCTCGGAGGTACACACACACCCCTTTTGCGAGTGCGTCACCATCCTCCTCTTAGTCCTCCGCCTTCTCCTCCTCCAAGTCTATTTGTCACTATGACACAGAAACAGCTGATTTGTAACGGTGACTGTACGTGTGTCCGTCCGCCCACCAGTCTGTCTGTCTGTCACCCAGCACGGGCTCCAAGGCTTGCATAAACAAAGTACAAGTCTGTTTTTCCCGATATCACCCGATTCACATATTAATTTTACCTGTCATGGCGGCAATCAATCTGCGCAGTAGACGAAGAAGGTGTGGCTCATCAAGGCGTAATGGATTGTGGGCTATAGGATCCCATCATTGACATACGCTGTCATTGGTCATTTCAAGGATCCGAAAACTGTATAATCCTTTATGGAAAGAAGACAAGATATTATCGAATGAGATTGTCCATCGATTTCGGTACCGCTGTCGATGGAAGTAGGTCCCCGCGACCGTCCGCTGGTCTGCTCGCGTTACTGTAATTGCAAAATCCAACAGCCTGAAGTAATGATTAATATCTACGCGGGACTTCTAGCATTGCGGAGGAGCAAAAAAGTGCGCAAGTCTGTGTTAAATAAAACCGTTTTACAGGATTTTACTGATTTTCTCTAGGCCTGACACCAATCATACGACCTTATCCAAGGATTTGACAAATTTCAACTTCTTTACCAGCCACTCAAGGTTACAGCTTATTTGTTTGTTCAAAAGAAGGATATTTGCATGGTATAAAATCTACTATCCCACCTAGAAAAGTTATTTTACCCATTGCGGCGCACTAGCCGCCTCGTATCGATCGTGATCAGCGGACGCAGAGGTCGGTGACTCCTTGACTGCTTATTGGTTCCTGCTGCAAAAGGGTATGACTCACCTCATGCTGGTCACAGCAACTAGGAAAAAAGCTTCATTTGTCCTCTTTCTTCTCCCCCTTTGCCAATGAAAAGGAGAGTACACAACAAGGAAGAAAGTGAAAACACACAAGATGCTAATTTGCTTACACATACATTCTCTTTTGCTCGGGATGGATGGCCTCCTTTATTAGACAAGGTCACACACCCTCTTGAGTCAAATTACCGGGTTAGCGGACATCGATGTTTCCGTTTGTGGACATTTGCACGTGTATTTGTTGCCGAGTTTGTCCGTTCGCCGTATGTGCTCGCTCGGGCTTTCAAATGACAGCCACGTGGGTGATAGGGCTAACTGGCAGTACAATTATTCCTCTCGTTCCAACCTCTATCTCCCGCCTTCCTCTTCCATGCATTTGAAACAGCACGCTGTTTACTTGTGCCTTCTCCTTCCTACCAGAATGTACACACTCATACACGTACACATCAACAAGACAATTTGCGTGGCATTTGAAAAAAATCGCAAATGGACGCCGGCGTAAATTTTACGAGTTACAAGCTGTTATTTTAGACTGCTTTTTGAAACAGTCTGGCTGGATCCGGTCAGATTCCCATCAAGTTTAAAAAAGTGAAGCGCCTTGTCTCGGCGCGAAATCTATTCTCCTGCGTTTAGACAGGATGACAATGTTTTCTATTTGACAGTGAGAACAGTAAGCTTGTTGGCACAGTGTTTAAGAAAAAAACAGTCGGAAGCTTGTCTGTGTTGTCCACACGCTGTATCAGCTTTTTGATAACTGAAGGAGACTCAATCATTGTCAAAATCCCGGCAGATGATAGGTTCAGAATAATTAGAGTAGTTATGAATGGGCTGGCACTTTCAATCCTAATTTCGACATCTGCTCACGTTTGAGTGACTGCAAAAAAAGGCAAATCTATCCTTTTTCTCGTATTCATTCAAAATCCTAATAATTGCGATCTTATTAACTGGGAAATAAAATCGGCTTGTGGGGGGATGGGGAGGAAGGGAGGGAGGGCGAGGAGGCACGTGGTAAAGTCATGGGATCTCTTAGCATAACTAATGTCTGTGGCTGTTTATGACCGATTATTATCCATCCACTAGGGGTGTCATTTGGTTAAGACGCCTCAATATTATTATATGGGAAGAAAAGTCCATACCTTCGGGAAACCAGCACTCGTGGAACAACTGCAACTTGCAGATGATGCGCATCCCCTGTAGCCAAATGTTTGGGTTGTGAGAACGGAGCTAGAAAAGTGGTACCTCAATTAATGTGTATTAGTCTATTAGGCAGGTGATTAGGGTGCCTCAGTAGACTACGTAGTAGCTTCGTAGCTTTTGCCATCATTTTACTAGCCTGGCCTTCCGTCCATCCCTATGGCCATGGCGGAAAGTAAAACAAAGTAACTGGAAGATTCCCCAATAAACTTAGCACAGTCATTCCAATTTGAAGTTGCCTCAACTTTCCTGATTCTGTTCCCAAGGCCTGGTATTATGATACCCAGTTTGCTCAGCTAAAAGTTCCCAAGCCTTTCCGTGCACTGATAATAGACTTATTTCAAGACTGGTTTGCTTTATGCCATCTAAACAGGGCACCTAAACGTTACAGAGGGATGTTATCCCCCCATGGATGGGTGATTCTGGGGAGGTCCATAAAAGAAGGGCTATTAAAATTACCTTGATTCTTAAAAACCACCCCGATTACGTGTTCTCTACTGTAGCGAGTAACGACCTGTAAAGAA